TTTATTTATTTATTTTTGCCTCTTTTAATTTTCCATTTTAGTCCCTTTTAGTTTTAGAACAAAAATGGTACCCCCTTTTGCAAATTTTGAAAAACCTGCACTGCCTGAGACGGTATCAGACGGTGCAGACTTTAAAGGTGGCTGTCGGATATAGCAATCCAATCAGTTGCCATTTTTATTTTTTATTTTTAAAAGTTTTTTCTTTTTTAAAATTTTTAGTTAAAATATTTAAATATAAATAAAATAAAATAATATTAATATAAATTTTAAAATAAATTTATTTAAGCACATGCATCGGAGAAGATGAGTTTGATAAGGTGTTTTTATTTAAGGGTTATATATAAAAATGTAAATTTATATAAAATAATATTAATTATGATAATATCATATCAAAGTGAGCTTTATGTTGTTTTTATTGTATATGCTCTAAGTAATCTTACGACAACAAACATGAAAGGATATAGTTGTAGGATGACAGATTTTTAATTTTTTTTTTTTGAAAGCAGTAATTACATTGATAATATTAATGTCTACTCTTAGAGATTGGGGGAGTGTCATGTTAGAATTTTTCTAAATATGGGCTGCCATTGATTGTTCAATTTTTAAACTAGTTTTATAAAGAATGAATTAAAGTGTATGATATAGAGAAGTTAGACTGGTTAACCCATAATTATATGATCCATAAAAGTAATGGATGTGATTCATCTCCATGATATATTTTATTAAGGAATGTGATATTAATTTGATAGGTGTAGGGCTTGTTTATTATTGAGCACCTTAATAGGAGGGCTTGTATTAAGTTTATTCTATTTTGGGCATGTGCCCCTCTCACATCTGAACCCTTAGGATACTTTTATAAATAGGGTTGTAATATGTCCCATTGGAGATTACAATCTATTCTTGATAGTGAAAAGGAGACCTGTGTTCTGGTTATTTTTTATTTCTTTCCTTTTTCTCCTGCGGTGTGGCTTCTGCTAGTTTGCTTTCCAATTTTCAAAATTCCTATGGATAATCAGGGTATGCTTTTTTATTTTACAAATTAATGAGATTTGGTGTTCTACTATTAGTGCATTGATCCTGTTTATTAATTCCAATATGTCAATCTTGGGACACGATTTTTATGTCATAAAAAATACTATCATTTTACTTCTTAAAGAGAAGCATGACCTCCGGGGTTATATAAGTGATTGGCGAGAGATTTCTAATTTTTAAGAGAGAAAGTTGATAAGCATTTTTTTTTTAAACATATTTATAATATAATTTATAACTTAACGAGTGATTCAGCATATGAAGGAAGGAGAGTGAAGAGAAGTACAAGTTCGAATTTTTGTTATAAGGATGTGAAATCTTTCTATACTTGTAAAAATTAGATAGGTAAATTTTAATATAAGGTCTATATCTAATTTAAAATTAATTGATAATAAATAAAATAATTTTTTTTTGTATTTAACTCATATCTCTTTATTATTTTATCATTGTAGAATTTTTCATATATATTTAATAATATTAATGACAAAGTCACTGTAACTAACAAGAATTCACTAAAACTTATCACTTTTGTTACTCCTATTTTAACAACTAAAAGTTTAAATTAGATTTTTTTTGTATAAATAACCAAAAAAAAAAAAATGTCATATAATGAAATGCTAACAATTTTTCTAGTATATATGTAGAAAGAATCGTTTAAACAATACTTATTTATGAAAACTCAAAATTCAGTTGTTGAACATATACCCTTTGTTCTGAACTCTCGGGTTTTCTTTGAAGTGGGTCAGCCTTGAAGATAGTCACATAAAGCGTACCATGAAGCACTTGTTGCTGGTCTGCACCTCCTGAATTCATTTTTCAGCTGCAATTTTTTTCAAACATTAAAACTTTATAAAGAAATCAAAGAAAAAGAAAAAGATGTATAAATGATAGAATTCTGACCTTTGATTAGCGTACCAGAAACAGGAGTGATCAATATTTTAATTGAAACCTTTGGACTGGACGGATATATATATAGAACGAAAAATGAAATGATGAAGCTTGGGGGTTGAGAAAGAAATCCATTCTTGAAGTAATGCCGAAGAGATCCTAAGTTTTGCCAAGTACATTAGCGGGTTAGCAGTAATTTTTTTTTTTTTTTAATTTATAGTGAGAATAAAAGGTATTATGTCTGAAAGTATTATGATTAATAAGTAAAAGAGTAAAATATAATTATTTTTATTAAATAATAATTGATATATTCTTTAATTTAATACATTTTGCAATATATTATTAAAAAATTATTATTTTTATATTTAAATTTAACTCAGATAAATTTTACCACATAATCTCATAACTAAATCAATAAATATTAAATTAAAAAGTGTATTAATTGTTTTTCATTTTTTATTACGTAACTCAATTTTGTGCTGCATGTGTGTGTTTTTATATTATATATATATATATAACATTAACAACAAATAATCAAGTATAATATCCTAATACAATAAAGAAAAATGATTAAGAGACAAATTTACCTGAATTTTCATAATTTGACGAGATGGAAGGCCATGTTAAACTCCAATAGGCTGTATGCATTTACGTAAACTAGGAATCACACTCAAATTAACACGGGATGAGGTAATAATATATTCACAATTTTTTTTTGTATAACTTTTATTTATAATTTTTATATGTCATTAAATGAATGAATATATATAATGTCATGAATTTTAATAAAGTGATAAAAGATAATTATTAAATAATATGTATGATTAAATGAAAAAATTATATAAAAAATTATTAATAAAACAAAGTTAGGGTACAATAAATATATTATTCTACAATTAATTTATATGAAAAATATAAATGATAACTTTAATTTAATCAATTAACAAATTAAAATTATCTACATATTAATAATGTTAAAATAATAATTAATTTATATACTTTTTATGTAAATAAATTATAAAAATATATATTTATTATATTCTCCAATAAAACAAAATTACACAAATTCAAAAATTATTCCTCAATCATTTTCCCCTAAGCACGTGCTTGGTCCATTATAACCAAATTGGTTACATCAGCCGCTACAAAAAGATTCATTTGAAGAGTTTGATGGTTTAAAAATCACTTATTCTAATTGAAGGGCTGATTTGCCACAAAGCAAAAGGTCTAAAGACCGATTTGTCGAATCCCTTTTACATTAAAGGGGAGGAAAATGACATTCGACCAAGAGAGCAATCATCCTTTGCTTTACGTGTCATCTTAATAAATTAAATAGTAATGAAGAAAATCATGCCACGGAAAAAGTTCCTCGGAATTTTTTTTCAAGTAAAGGATTAATTCGATGCAATTGCGAGGGGAAGAGAATAATTTGCTTCCTTCCTTGAGGAGACTGACCCAAGTTAATTACAAATTCTTTACTTTCATGGATTTTCTTAAAATAGCATGCTTCCCTTTTTTCTTTTTTCTTTTTTTTTTCTTTTTTAAGTTGCATAAATATGAAGGGTGAAACCATTAAGAACTAAATTGGATATCCGCTTTCAAAAACATTAAAAAAAGGGTCAAATATATATATATATATATATATTGTCTTATTTGGTAACGATAGAGTCTCACTTATACATAAATTTTATATATTAAATTTATATAAAATTTTAATCATTTATTTTTTCGCTTTCAATTATTGAGATTTATTCATATTTATTAAAAAGAGTTATCTTTTATATATAAAAAAAAGTTGTGATAGATTTTAACTATTGAAAATAAAAAAATGAATAGTTAAGATTTTATGTAAATATAATATGTAAAATTTATGTATAACTCAATTTTTTCTTATTTTACAAACCTTAAGTTGAGTCTTAAAAAGTTAAAAAAGAATATAGAATTGCAAAAATATGAGAAAATTGTTATGTTTGAAGTCATTTTGTAATTAAGATAAAATATGATTTAGTGATTATAGCTATATATATAATAGGAAAAAGTGTTATATAATTTGGATTGTATAATACTTTACAATGCTAATAATTGAATAATTAATAATTCATAGTTTGTAATATAGTATAGTTTAAATTATAAAATAAAAGAGTTTATATAGAGAGACATTATATTTTAAGAATAATCATGAAGGCAATGAGATTGTAACTAGCTGTTCATATTCATTAAATCTAGGAGAATAAAGATGTTACAACTCAAAATTCAAAAAAACTGTTTTAAAGTTTAAGGTTAAGTACATTTGTAGTCCTCTACTTTTTAAAAATTGACACTTTCATCCCTTTACTACTTTTAATTAAATGGCTTATGACATAACATGAATAACATGAACAACATTAAGAGGGAGGAAAAAACCTATCGAGACTAGAGTGACATCATTGATCTTTTTTTTAATAAAGGGACCTTACGATAGTGATGATCCATAATATATAACAGAAGAATGAAAATGCCCCATTTTAAAAATAGAGAGACTAAAAATATATTTAACTTTATAATTTATCGTTATATTCAGCATTCATGACATGTTTTTACGAATTAAAAGAATCCCACGTTACTTTGGTCTTTTGCAATGATTTCTTCATGTCTTGGTAAAAATCATTGTTTTCAATGAATACTTACTGTTTTATTGAAGCACGTTACATATGTTACTCAATCATTTTTTTAATTTTTTTAAATCTTATTTATTTAGCATATGTTATTCAAGTCTTTGCCATTACTGATGCAAAACCTCACCAATTGTAGCATAAACTCCAGATTTATGCTTCATTTACATTTTATTAGTTAAGGTTTCATTTTTTAATAAGGGAATGGAAATATAATTAGTTAGGAAAATAATTAGTTATCATGACATGAACAAAATTTAATTTAGTGCATTACATAAGAGAAAAAGAAGTGGGTCTCAATTATTTTCTTAAAAAAAATATTTTCATATATATTTTATAAAAATTTATTTAGCATATGTTACTCGAATCCTTGCCATTACTAATGCACCACTCCGCCAATCGTAACATAAATTTCAGATTTTTTGCTCCATTTTTTCTTATTAAGGCTTCATTTACATTTTGTTAGTTAAGGTTTCCTTTTTACAGAATGTCATGGAAATATAATTAGTTAGGAAAATGATTAGTTATCAGGACATGAACTTAACTTTATTTAGTACACTACATAAGAGAAAAAGAAATCAGGGATGGATGTTATAATAAGAAATGTTAAGAATAGAAGAATATGGTATAGATAGATGAAATCAAACAGAACTAACCAGGAGAAGTTTCTTCCTGCAAGTTCTATATTTCTTATTCCAGTATCACTTTAATTGCGTCATTTTATAAACACAGGATTTTACAATTTTTATTCTAATGGTACATTGTTGAAGATGTGACCCAGAACAACTTTTAACTAAGCAGTAAAAGATGGAAAAATCCACTTGGCATGGTTAGAATCCACTGACTTAATGCGAGTCTGTGTGTCGGGGAAGAATTCTGTCTCTGGTAGAGGAGCAATCTCACCATTGTCGTGGACTTGAAATGGGTATCGGAGCAAATGACAAGGCAGATCTTGGTTGAAATTTTTACTCGTGAAGAGATCCCAGTTCCGATCTGCAATTTCATTCACTTGCTGCATGCATACTAGGCTCTGTGGAAATATAAAGGACTCCTTAAGCTCTCCAATGTGCTCGCACCACAACGCCATTCTGAAATCATGAACATTTCCCCTTGCCTGTCGCTGCCCATCAGCTATGTGGTAAGGCTGGTACGCTCCCATTGCAATTTCGGTGTCCCGCGTACCATCCATCGACCTCTGGTTGATATTTGCCGATCCAACGATTATGTAATCATCATCAACTGCAAAAAGAAATCACATTCATTATTGAATTCATCATTCTTTTTAGAAATTTGTTGGCAGGATTGGAGTATGATGCTCATTACCTATCATCATTTTTGAGTGTACATAGATCATGAAGCGTCGGGTACACTGAGCTTTGCTATAGTGAGTATCAGAAGATGGTTTATTTGGCGGGCAGAAATCGGAATCCTGCTTGACTTCTCGATTGCCAAGACAAAAGAAAGAGAGGTAATCTCGAGGGTTTGCTTGTATTCCTGTTTCTTGGAGTGCTTGAGCGATGTCGGCGTACATCATTTCCATTGTTCTCCATTGCCAATCGAGCATGGCCTGACTGAAGAAGCTACCAGCTGAACCTTCTGGCCACATTGGAATCACAACATACACAGAGAACCGCTCGTTTGCTTTGATCTTTCTCACTATCTTTAGCGAGATCTCCTTCGGTATAATATGCAAGGCTTTCACCCCCGTATGTGTTTGTGTCCAAGCAAAGGAACTTCCCAGGAAAAACTGATTTTCAATGTAAATAAAATTCTTTGCTCGACGGATTGCATTGACGTATGCATCCTGAATGCTCTGTTCGATGGTGACACCCTTCCTGCTAACAAGCCCTCTGGAAACCATCTCAAACAGATCAGTCGGGTACCCGGCAGCAGCACCATTGTCCATAGATCGAAACACTTGCACATTCCATGATTCCGGGTTCAACGGTAACATAACCGGTGATGGGTCACTAATTAGGTCGGGATCATTTGGTAACAAGAGATTAATGTTACCAACTTCAAGTGCCCACCTTTGCTCAAAAGTATGCATGACATCCCAAGCAGCTGGTCCTTCAATCTTGCAATGTATGTCGTGCCAGGGTAGCCTTGGACCACCTTTTTCCCTTGATGCTCCTCTGAAGCAACTCTGATGGAAATCATCTTTGTGGACTGTGTCCAGAGTCCGAAACAGGGAATGTTCTGGCGTATCGTATCTACCAGTGTTAAGATCCAGACCACCAATATAACTCACGATCCTCCTCTCCTGCGTTTCTCCCCAGGGTACATCACTGTCAACCAATACCATCTTTGAATGATGCGAGTAAAGGAACTTAGATAAATTTGTATCGATCACCTTGTTATGACCAAAAGACCGTGAACAGAGATGGCACTGCACTGCAGTTGCTCGGAAAAAATTTCTAGTTTCATTTGCATTGGTTTTAATATGCTCGTATACCTCAAATGCTTCTCCTTTTGAATTAAGCACCTCTATTGCAGTTGAATTTTTCCAAATCAGCATGCAAACTCTAACTCATTCTTCAGCCTTCTTCACAAGCAGCTCTCCGATGCTCGGGATAATCTCACCGGAGTTTCCCCCTTCTCTAACCAATCTAACTTTTGGATGAAAAGACCAACCAGCTATGTAGATCAATTGTTTGGCCTTACTAATAGACTCATACATGTCCTCCCAACATCTGTTTGTTTCGTAGTGCCGCTCCTCGCCAGAACTCAAAATAAGTGTCGGGTTGAAATTATTGTGGACATGAGCATCTTGGTACAAAGTAACCCTGCAACCTCCCCGACCCGGGTAGAAGGAGTAAGGAACAGCTGTGAATTTTGGACTTCCAATTTTGGGAAACCATTGAGACTCCTGAAGAGAACTAATGAAAAGAATTTTGACATGAAGATAAGACTCTTCTTCTATCTGATTACGCCCTTCGTCCAGTATGTTCATACAAATATCTATGGCTTGTAGATTGGTCGTGAGTCCGGCGACGGGAAAATAAGCTTTGCCGATCGTTTTGACTTTCCATAATTTACCGGCGACGCTCTGTTCACCCCATATGTTGTCTTCTTTGATGGTGAATGCAATACGAGACACAGAATGCGCACAATAAATGCGAAAGACTTCGTTCCAATAGGGTTCGATGGAATCTGCTACGCATTTTGTCCGTGCCACCGTTGCGTTTCCGAAGTCGATTGTTGCAAAGAGACCGTCTTGGCCCAAAGAGCGTTTGGTCACCACACGAACTGCCTTATTTGCGGTTCTGCAACCGAATTTCAAAACCTGCACCAACAAAATTAAAGTTGGATAATTATTTTTTAGGAAAATGATTAATAATCATTTTTTTATATATTTTTTTCTTAGAAACTTATATATTATTTTGTTTAATAATTAATTTTTTTTCACTCTATGAATATCTATAATAATATATAATTATTTATTTAATATTTTTAATTATATATAAAAATTATATAAAAAATTCTCCACATGTTATTACCTTAATTTTTAAATATAAAAATCCAGTAAGTACCAAAATGAAATGATGGTACTCATATGAATAGTAGCCATACAATTAGACAACCGTTCAGTTTGGAGGAGCCTACATGGTACTAGGTCAAGGCACCATGAATTTTAAGAAAGACAAATGTAAGGTAAATAGATTTATATTTGTATTTTTTATTTTGTAATTTATACAGTACTAAATTATAAAATTAAAAATTTTAAATTGGGGGAAGAGAGTTCAATGTCACGAGATTTTCTTTAATTTAAAAGTTATTATTTTACAATTTAACTTAATTCAAATTGTAAAATAATTTTTTGTTTATATTTTTTAAGTTAGATTGCATAACAAGAGTAAGTATAGTTTGTGTATTGAAATTATTAAAATATTATTAATAAAATATTATATAAAATTTTTAATAAGTCATTTTAATAAATTCATAAATTAGATTATAGTTTTATTGTATAATTTCATGTGAGAAAACACTTTTTCAAAGGTATATACCCTAAGTAATACTAGTACGGTATACCTTAAATGATATAACTGTAAGATGAGATTTCTAATTTTTATGAAAGAACTAAAATTGAAGCTCAATCACGGGAATGGATAAAGGTTAGAAAAAGACAATGGTTTTGTGACTCTCATGGATTGGATTTTACAAACCAAAGGTATGCATGACCCAAAGGCATAGGATTACAAAAGCTCGATGACAGGGAATTTTTTTTTTTTTTTTAAAGTTTTAATTGTTTACTTTATATTATAACACTTTTAATCCATCACCTTACTAAATTTATAAGTTTTAGCACCTGGCCCTTGAGGCCTAGTGGCAATAGCCACCTCGGTGCATTCTCCCCTCCCCCGGGCTGGGTTCGAAACCCGCCCTTTGCAAACATGTTCAAAAAAAAAAAAAAATTTTATAAGTTTTTAACCCCTTATCTATATATTAAAATCGAAAAAAATAACTCTCGTTTTATACTAACTGTTAACTCTATTAGCTGAAAGTAGATTTTTATTAACTAATAATCAATTAATAGTCAAGTAACAGAATTAACGAAATATTATAAAATTAATTCTATACTCTATTAGTTGAAAAAAAAATTTTAACAGCTAACAGTCAACTAATAGTCAATTAATAAAATTAATAAAATATTACAAAGTAATAGTTATTTTTTTCAATTTTAATAGGTAAAAGGTTAAAAATATCATAATATAAAATAAAGAGTTAAAACCAATAAATTTAATAAAATAAAAAGTTATAAATGTTATAATATAAGGTGAGAGTTGAAACCTTTATCATTTGTTTTATCGACAAAGGTTCTAATTTGGATATATAACGGATTTGGAGTACTTTTGTACTTCAAATTTTAAATGAAATATTTATTTTTTGCTTTAAAAAAAATAAAATTGATAAACACTTCTTTCCTTTAAATTTTTTTTTTAACATTTATAATATAATTTATAATTTAACACTTTTATTACACAACTAAAATAGATTTTTGGTATAAATGACAAAATTAAAAAAAAAACATTAAAGAAATTAATGCTGACGATTTTTCCAGTGTGAAATAAGAATCGTTTAAATAATACTTATATATGAAAGCTCAAAATTCAGTCGTTGAACATACCTTCTGTTTTAAATTTTCATCGGATTTTCTTTGAAGTGGATGAGCCCCTAAGATAGTCACATAAAGCGTCCCATGAAGCAACTGTTGTTGGTCTCCTCCTCCTGAACTCATTTTTCAGCTGCAAATTTTATTAAACTTTAAAACTTAATTTTTAAAGAAATCAAAGAAAAAGAAAAGATGTATAAAATCATAGAATTCCGACATTTGCTTATTGTACCAGAAACAGGAGTGATCAACATCTTCATTCACAACTTCGGGCTGGAAGGATATACATAGAACCAAAAAAAAAGAAGCTAAAGCTTGTGGGTTGAGAAAGATATCCATTCTTGAAGTCATATTGAAGAGATCCTAAAATTTGCCAACTACTTAACTTTTAGTATTATTATGATTTTGGAATTTTGGTTTACTTTTTATAGATTTTATAACTTTATTTAAATAAAA